AATGAGAATTTCTTCTCCACAAAATGTTTTCCTCAGTTTTGATAGTAATTATAAAACTCTTAAGTTAAATTTTCAGTTTTGTGCAGGACTGATTTCAGACATCTTTTGTGGTCAATATCTTCAATGTACTTACGAAATTCATTGGCAAGTCTAAGGAATGGGTCCATCCTACATTTGAAACTGACATACGTGAGCGTCCATGCCTTTAATTTTTGAATTTTGCCCTCATATTGTCCATCTACTTCCGCTCGGCTCTCTAAACTGTCAATATAATTCTTCTCTGTGGTTTTTCTTCCTCCACATATCATGCGTTCACAAAATTTTGTTTATTTATTTATATATAATTTTTTTTTTTCATTTCTGTGAGAGTTTGGTTTCGCCTTCTTGAACGCTTCTATAATTTTGATAATGGTTACCGGGAAATTAAAGAAGATGACAAAATTTCTTCACTTATGACAGTTGTATGAATCACTGCAAGAATGACATATTTATCCTGAAGCGGCAAATTACATAATATTGCTGTGGATAGACTTTGACCGTGATAAACGATCGATACGACTATACGAACATTTTTTATATTTTATTTTTCAGACTTGTATATAAACTTGAGAAATGTAATGGACAGAGCATATCTCTCTTGGATACCTTTAGTACAAGTAACTATGGAATACCTGGTAAGGTGATATGGAATTTTCTCTATGCTTTTTCTTTCTCGCAGAAAGTATTAGAAACTCCTAGAATGTATAAATACTGAAATGCTAGTTTGCATTTATTCTTTGCTTACATGCATTCTTTTTCAGTACTGTTATTATGCAAAAGGCACAGTTTCTGCAGTGATAAGATTAGTATTCCTCTAACAACTATTATAATTATAAATTATAAATTAGGAATTATAATACAACGGAAATTATAAATTTTATAAATGTGTGTATATTCGAGTTTAAAATAACAGCTTGATTGCATTTCTTCTCCAGTTTACTTTCAATCATATCTTATGCATCCTTTCCCTTAAAAATAGAAAAATGGTATTGAATATACATATTCATCTTGAATTTATTTGTGTAAATTACGCAACGCGTCCAACATAAGAAATGGTCTCTGTAAATTATGCGTTTTAAGAACTTGATAGATTGTTTTATGAGGACGCTGAAAAAGAAGTTTTAGATTTGATTAAGATTTATTTGATTATGGCAAAACAACTTGAGGGCTACCTGCCTATGGGAGGGATGCCTTCGTGGAAGACTTTTTAAGAGAAACTACCTCATATACACGTTGTGTATGGGAAAAACCACGAAAACACCCATGCAGTCAGTCCTTTCGCCGGGAATCCAAACCCGGACCGAACAATGAATGTTCAGCGACTTTACCTCTCGGTTGACGGTGGGCAGGACACTTTGAAAATGATAGTTTAAAAAAAGGAAGAAAATACTAGTAGTTATTTCTGTGAAATAATTCAAGGAAAATATATATATTTGTCACAATGTTTTGTCAGTTTTGTGAAACAAGCAGGTCGTTGCTCTATGATTGCATTATGTTACTAGGTAAGTATTTAGACACAATGAGATTAGTCTGCATGTAGTGAAAAAGTCTTTCATTTATGAAAGCATTTATTCATAACTTTCCTTTGTCATTAAAATTGGACCAAAATGTTTAATTGTATAACATTCGACGTTAGAAATAAATGTAGTTCTTTAAAGAAATTCACGTCAAAATAATACAAATTTACTTCATTTAAAACTGCATTTTCTTACATTTCACAAAAAGCTCAAAGTGGAAATTGTATACATCTAACTAGTATAAAATATAATATAGTCTTTTTGCAGAAATTTCATACTTTCAAAATATCCTGTAAAATTAATTTAGATCACTGAATTATGGATTACTCTTTTCTATCCTTCTTTGTGGACTAACTATTTAAGGCGTTCTACTTATAACCTTTAGTCATATAAGAGAGATATTCGTCTTTCTGAAACTTATCTATAATCTGAAATTTTGTACAAGTTCCAATACTTTAAAAAATTAATGTTAACGTGTACAATCTGCGAGTTTTATTTTATTTTTGAAAGGCTTCCCACTTTAATAGTCGCAAGGATATTTTATCTTAATAAACAAAAATTACCATTTTTCCTCATATTTTTTTTCAATGTATGAAGTCTTCTGTTAACTTTATTTTATTTAGAACTGAATAATAAACATAAAGGTTTTAAAATACTTCATACTTTGCATTTATATAAGCTAAATACCTGCAACAATATATTGGTGAATTGCTAGTTCACTGTCTTGTGAAAACTATCATTATTAAAAGCATAAAATTTGAGAGAAGTACGTTTGTTGTGGATTTTCTTTAAGAAACGCCATGGAGTTAAATTAACAATTAAACAAGAATGACGAATATTTCTATTTCTATTTTGAAATATTGAAAAATGCAATAATGAAGTGAGAAAATCGGGTTTAAATATATACGTTAAGGAATTAGATTTAGTCTTAAGTACCCCACTAAGCTATTAACAATTGGCAGTTTTGCCTGTACACTGAGATATTAATAATATGCAGCTTTCTCTATAAACTGCGGTATTAACAATATTCAATTTTCCCTAAAGTTCTTAACATGTTATTATTTTCTAAACGATAGTAAGGAAATGTTATTGTATGCTTTCATTTTCTTTTTAAAAGTGTTTTTATGTTTTCTTTATCCATTAACTTTTCAATAACTGATGAGTATTGCTATTCTCTTGTTTATAACATCTCATGCTTCCAGTATCACAATTTATTACAACAGCTTTTACAGCTGCAGTTTTTACTTATGATTTAACATATCCGTTCTGTGAATAATCACCACAATTTTAAGTTAAAATTACACAGGAGGCATACTTCTTGTATGTATGTGCACTTTGTCTACAGTTGGAAGATAATTTAGAAGAAAAAGTGGTGAACTTAGGAATGCAGTTCAGATAGTATTCGCTGAAACGTAAATAGTTATGTGCACTTATGTGCACAGATTAGAAAGCTTTAGTTTCATATTTGAAAAACGTAAAACAGTATTTTGGAAAAAATGATATATTAATATCAAATTTTGAGCCATGTTCGCTAAATGTACGATTCATGTCGTTTTCATGTCTTGGGAATACTCTGTGCTTTAATCTTTTCTGTATTTTACGTTTCATTAAGTCCAGTTAACGAAACTGATTAAACGTTTTATACCAATATTAAGTACTATATAGAACGCTTATCAGTATTTTTTTTAATTTTCAGTTTTATACTTTACCCTAAGTAACTGATACGTAAATTTATTTGCTTATAACAAAGGAAGCACTTGGTGTTTAAAAATAAATACCAAAATTTCCCATTTACATCGGTGTATGACTATTAAATTTGCAATTGTTAAACTCATTAAAAATTGCAGACATTTTAATTCAAAAACGAATGACAAGGTGGGAGAAGCTTAAAAATATTATTATTTCTTATTAATATTTCAGATTGTTAATCTAAAGACTATTTTATTTTCAGAGTAGTTTTATTTTTAAAGAGATTAAAAATTCAGCAAAGATGGAGAATGCTGTTTTACGGTTGCACATACTAAGTTAAAACACATTTTATTTTCAATGGCTAGAAAGTCATCAATAAACATTCGCAGCATTTTAAATTCCAACTGAGCAGCATTGTATTACAGAAACCAGTTGCGTGATCTTTTAACGAATGACATTGAACAGTTTTCTATTTTTGAGGATTTTCTCGAATGTACTTTATGATTATCAGTGGGCCAGGGAGATGCTCTCGATGATTAACATTAGTGATGCATTAATTTGTGAAAGAGTTATCCCAAATTTCAGCCTGTTGAGAATATTTGTGTTTCATTTGACAAAATTAATCAGTTTTCAATAATGATCTAGATGAGAGATCCTTCGCTTTATATACTAGAGAAAATAAAACAACATGGCTATATATTAATTAATAATTTTATTCAAATCTGGACACACATAAATAATGCGAGTTTGAGGCTTTCATTTAGTTTAAAGACAGACTTTACATTTAAAACAGGTCAGAAGCTGCAGCAGTTAGTTCAAAAGATTGAGATTTCTCTTTCCTACTCAAAATCAACTTAAAATTAATTCTTGTGCACTAGTCATCGAATACATAAAAACCACCGAACAGTGACATTTTATTCTGGGTTCCAATTTCTCAGCGACTGAATGAGTTCGCATTACCGTGTTTTGGGAGTTTCCTCACGTGGAACATAACATGAATCAATCTCCCTTAGAAAATCCTCCAAGAAAGCAAGTTTTTTTTATACAAATAACATAATATTATAAAAACATTTCTCTACACTATACAAGTATCCATTTTTACATAAAGGCCATTATGTTTTTCTGACGAAAAAAAAATGTGAAACATCAACTGTGTCTTCACCGGAATTTGAGCCACAAATCTTGCAATTTTTAGGTGGACACGTTCATCGCTTACACGATGAGGTTAATATGTAGCATTGCAATATGTCCTTATATTCTTTCCTACTCAAAGGGTGACTGGGAAGAGGCCACAAGATCTAGTAGACTGAATCTAAGTGGTAACGAGTTATCGTCCCCTACATTTCAGTATAACGTCCCCCACATTTGAGTGGCGCCACTGTAGAGAATTACCAAAATTTTTTGGAATGAAGTGAGAGGCAAATAAGCTGCTACTTCGCAGACATTCGAACCATTGGTAGCCCAAGTGTTGACGGGAGGTGCAATTAGCTCATACCCCATTACCAATATTATCCTACTTTCATATTCTACAAATAATGTAGTATTAAACATTTATGCAAGGTGAAAACTATTTTCTGAAAGTTAATATTTATAATTTTAACATTACAACTATTATTAAGAGCTTTCTTCAGACCCTCTTCCATCTGGCTAACCAGCGCCTTTAAAAAGCCAATTTTAATGCACGACTCTCCTAGTTACATCATTCAGCTGCGCTTCATAGTACTTTTCTAGTACTGATGATCATTAAGATAGTCGATGATAGATAATCAAGTAAGTTACGCAAACAAATTTTTAACTTAAACTTTAAAGTTCTTCAAAGTATTAACATGCAGCATTCAGCATTCAACTCATTTAAAAATTTATTTCGGATGCTGAAATTGTTCGAATTGATTTTATTACAGTATGCCAACGATTTTAACATATTTGTTTCCATTCAGGCCTACGAGGTTGATGATTTTAATTTATTCTGGAAAGACAATTAATATCAATTATTTCTAGTAATGCGTAGTAGAACTAATAAAATATTACAAATTTCTTAATTTTTACAGTTTTAGATATATAATACATTTTTCTCTTAAAATTTTATTCACACTCCAAACACATTGAAGCTTTTTACGCATTCCTAAGTAAGTTGTCAGTAGCTTTGGAGAGTAAGTCACTGATTCTGCTTGCATTTTTCTTTGCTAATACTTTTATCATCGTTTGTTAAATTTGAAGCACCAGATGAAATTTTTTAGTCTCTTTCTTCTAAATATTAATTTTTTAGACAATAAGAAAGGTTTTAGGAAAATAAGTGATCATAGCAAAAACGTCAAACATTATGGCGGTTTGCAACACGTTTTCTAATTTCAGCTATTCGAATTGAATAGTACTGTGCAAAGACATCATATTTGTTTATAATGAAGATTATTAATAATCTAAAAGAATTCCATATGAAGAATGCTACAGACACATTATTGGGTGTATTTAGTATAGTATTCTTCTTTTGGAATGTATTTAGTGTAGAATTCCTCTTTCTAAAATTTTCCATGTTATTGGAAGGTTAACAGTGAGAATATTAGCTAAGAATTTCATTTATAGATCTAATTTTCCTAAACAAATGAATAATTTATAAAAAATGATCTAAGCAAATTGTTTGATGTTCTTTATATTCATAACATAAATATTCATTTACTGAACGTACCTAAAATTATGAGGACACCTAAACTTAAAAAATGAAATATCATGGAATTTGTAAAAGTGCTAATGAACTTAAGATAAGTTAAATTTTAGCCTTTTGCAAGAAATGAATATTTATAATATAATTTTGAGAAAATGAAACATTTTGTGTTTTTCTTCTAGGTTTGGATATCCGTTTCAGCCATTGCTTTAACAATATCTTCAGCTGGAACCATCGGAGGCGGTGGTCATGGAGGAGGATTCGGAGGAGGATATGGTGGAGGTTTTGGAGGTGGGCAAAGAGGTGGCTTTGGAGGTGGACACGGCGGTGGTGGCTTCGGAGGTGGTGGTGGATTCGGAGGCGGAGGATTTGGAGGAGGCCACGGTGGAGGAGGAGGTGGATTTGGTGGATTTGGAGGTGGCGGATTCGGTGGAGGACATGGTGGAGGAGGAGGTGGAAAAACTGTTGTCATACCTGTTATTAAGCATATTCCTGTCGTACAACACGTGCCAGTTGTAGAGCATATTAAAGTAGTAACTAAGGAAAGTGGTGGAGGAGGCTGGAAAGGAGGATTAGGAGGAGGCTCTGGAGGAGATATCGGTGGATTTGGTGGCGGTGGAGATTTTGGTGGTGGTGGTCTTGGGGGTTGGTCGGGAGGAGGTCTGGGAGGAGGCATAGGTGGAGGCTTCGGAGGGGGCCACGGAAGTGGATGGTTGATGGGTGGAGGTTTAGGTGGAGGACAGGGAGGCTGGTCCGGTGGAGGACAGGGAGGCTGGTCCGGTGGAGGACAGGGAGGCTGGTCCGGGGGAGGTGGAGGAGGTTTCGGTGGTGGTGGTGGACATGGAGGATGGGCTAGAAGCAGTGGAAGACCAATAATTGCTCACGGACTTGGAGGAAACATCAGAGGATGGTGGTAAATGCTTATTCAACATTAATAGGTAAGAAACTAAAATTTTAATTTTTTTTCTCTCATCAATGACTTTTTCCATTATGCAAGAATTAATTATCAGGCTCAGTAAAATGAAACTGGACAAAATTCACCGAATTTTGAATGCTTAACTAAATTACACCTGGCTTTTACAACAAGGTAACCCCTTTAACAACATCAAGCTTTTCTCGGATTATCTGCGACTTGACTTTAAAATAACGATCTATCTATTTGAGTTGCCTGTTTCATCGTAATTAACTGCCTAAACCACTTGGCGCATAGCAACAGACCTCACATGGAAGAACCCTCAAATGTCCACAATAATGGACAAATGGGAATCGGTTGCTTTATCATAAGAATCATAAAGATAAGTAATAAATTTTGATGGAAACGAAATTGAAAGTGACTCTTCATTCCTCTCCTTTCCAGAAACAGGCAGCTTGTGACTTTTAAATTAATTCAAATTCAGATTGATGAGATGTTGTTGTGACTCCATAAAGGACATTCATGATGAATAGCCAAATTGCTAGGCTCACTTCATTAGAGTACTGTAACACCCTGACTTACGAGAGCTTGAAGTTGAGCGATTCCTTATTTTCATTATTTAGTTTACATAGTTACGCTCGTAATTAATTTGCGTTAGAAATTATTTGCAATTCTGAAAGGGCTGATAAAAAAACGTTACTCTGCCTTTACAAAACTAGCTTTAAAAATAATTTGTATCAAAACATGATAGTTTGTGCTAAATACATTAAAATACCACACTTCTTTCATAAACTGGAGTTATGTTATAACTGGGTTTGCAGACAATCCAGTTGTTCTACGTTTACATGTACAGTGCGGTCATTGTTTTATACTTTGGTACATAGAAAAAATATCAAAGAAGGGATGGAGTTTGATATTCTTTATTTCTTCTTTCCTTTTTGCTTTATAATTATGAATTGAGTCGTTAGAAGAGTTTGATTAATTATAATCGGAGTTGAAATTACTCCATTTTATTCAGCATATTTATTTTAACACTATTTTATTAATATGACTAAAATCTAAATTCTTTGTTGAACTCTTTTCTTCTAAATAAGCATGTATCAGCCCTAAATCCTATTTAATTAAAATAGGAATAATGACAAAGTTAGACTCCTACATACGCGAATCTGATTATGCGCTTTTGGTCGGTCTCACCTGTTACATATAACTTCAGAGTATTAAAAGGCATTAAAGTAATACTCCAGTCAAGATGCACGCGGCGAAATCAGTGCATAAATACAGAGCGGAGCTATTTGAGAAAGATGAAGATAAAATAGAATTCGGATAAATTTTCGTGCGTTGGTCGAACTTTCATAGATCTTTTTTCTATTATTTTGATTCTCTTATTTCCATTTAGGGAAATGTAATTTGTTAACAAGTAAGTGAAGATGACAATAACAATTCTATATATTTAGAGCATTTAGATACAGTTAAACCAAAATTATTTTTATTATTATATAAAAGAACATATGCAAATTTCTAAAACTAGTTTCATCCCTTTTTTGCAGATATTCAAAGCATAAATTTGGGCGACGATCCAGAAGCTTATGAAGTTCTTGTACGATTGTTGAAACTGAAGTTACTTTGTATACCTATAACGGATATTGTTGCAGAATAAATATGAGATTTACTCCTTTTTGTCTATCTATTATTTTTTGACCAATAATCTTTCATTCAAGCTTTCTCTGCACTGCCTACTAGCGTTCGTGTTTTTAACAGGGTGTCGATAACTATATATCAGAAAACATAATCGACGTACTTTAATGTATTTGCGCATGCAATTTTTCCAATTTGAAGCAAATTAGTTTCAACTTTATTCATATTAACTGTATTTCAAACATTTAATCTATAACATTTGCCTACTGGCATACACAATGGAAGGGACAGCAGGGTAATTTTAAGGAAAGAAATCAAGGAAACCTTTTCTGAATATAGAAAAAAACATGATTTTTTTTTTTTTTTTTTAAAGTTTGATGCGACAATGCAAAATTTTTAAGAAAAGTTAATGCTTAAAATGCTTAAAACGTCTACAGCAGAAGAAGCACTCCAACTTTAATAAATGGCAGTTTCCCAGCGCGCAATATCTTAGATTCGTTTGAGTGTTCAAATTTTGAAACCATTTTAATAGCATTAAAACAATTTTTAATTAGCATTAAAATTTTTAAACCATTTTGATCCGGGAATATTTCAGTCACCACTTAATTTTTGTAGTAATTCAAGAATCATTTAACTAATGTTTTATTTAAAAAATGCTTAATTTCCATGGAAAAATAATTCTGTATTATTTAGCAAATGTGAGTAAATAAATAGCAGAAGATTAAGAAATATGATGACATTTAATTTGTTCCCAAGCTCTTTTTAAAATTCATTGCTTAGAGCTTGATTTTTAGAGACTTCAAATCTTTTTTGAATACGAAGTTCTAGGTGTTTTCAAACCGAACAGTTATTTAATTTCAGCCATCTTTTTAGGTTATAACGCATTCTCATTAACATTTTAGTAGCCCTTAAATGTATACTTCCTTAATTTTGCCGGAGGATATTAATTTTAATTGATATGTTTCATTACTTGCTTTCAGGGTCGGTCATTAATATTCGGAAACGCGAAAAAAAAAAAAAACTGCATCATAACTTTCAAGTCAAAATGACGCGTCTCGTCCGTAAGAATGTGAAGGTGAATCCGAAGGCGAATGTTCAACTAAGCATTAGAATAATTTGGTTTGTTTTGGCTAATGTGATTATGGCAAAGCTCGAGAGCTATTTGACTGATGAAAGGGGTGCCTTCGTAGAGGAGTTTCTAAGAGAAACTAGCTAGAAACACATGGGGTAAACCCCGAAAACGCCCATGCAGTCAGCCCATTCGCGGGTTTCGAACCTCGAACGAACTACCAGTGTTCAGCGACTTTACTACTCAGCCACTGGTGGGCTCCAAGCATTAGGATAGATTACCTGTGAAACAGCGGTAAGGTGCCTGTCTAGAGATAATGTAGCCCTGAGGTCGAGTTTTATTCAAAGCCTAAACTCTTATTAAGCCCTTAGTTTTAAGCTAATCATGAAATAACTTAAGTCTTTTTTTAACTAGTTTATTAAAAACAATAAATAAATGCGAGAAAAGCATGCTAATTAAGACATAAATCTATTGAAAGACAATTTGAAACAGGAAAATTATTATTTACTTGAAACATATGTATTATCTTTTGTATTTTGAATATAATGTTATTAATCTTTGTTAAACTTTTAATAATTTTAAGTTAACAAGAATTTCGAAACGAAAATTTTATTATTTCCTCTACTTATTGCTACCTTCTTAAATATGTTAACATCTCAATAATGTCCTTTTGTGCGGCTAAAGATATTAGAAATCTAACAGCTTCTGGTATTTTAAATCTACATCTTTTCAAGGCCGGCGTCACATCAAATTAGTTATTTAACTGCAATTTTTTGTTTTTTTTTGTTTTTTTTTGTTTTTGTTTTCAAATTTAAGTGAGAGAGTTCGTTGTAACAACAGTAATTTCCCGACTTATGTAATACGTGACTTACGGAATTCGTAATTAGTCAAGTGCACAGAAGCCTTAATAGAAATGAAACTTACCAATTAGAAGGTGCAAAACATGCAAAATGAAATCTACGAGTTAGAAATAAGCGCTTTGTAAAGAGTTTCCTCATTTTTCCGGCCCGTGCTTGTTGTATTCAAACAATATTTTACTGGTTAGTTACTTGTTTATCAATATTATTGTGGATTGTTTGTTTAATTTTAAAATGAATTCAAAACGCAAAACCAAATGCACTCGGAATAAATCTAAAAATCAAAGGTTAGCATTTATATTAGAAGAGAAGTTGAAAATAATTCTTATGTATGAAGACGAAAGCAATATATCGGCAATAACTCTGATATACGTAGATTGATCGTTTTCAACAGTGAAGATGATAGAGAAGGATAAAATTCTAGCTGTTGAAAGAAGAATAAGTGGGATAATAATGAATATCTTAAGTATTAGCAAGAAGAAAGCTGGGTTTCGATTGTAGTGATGAAAGAAATGGTTGTTCCTCTGGATTGAGGATATGACACAAAAGTGAACTCAGTTTTCTGAATATCCAGGAAAAGATCAGATTTTTATATAAATACCATCAAGAGAAAACTGGGATCGCGGACACGGAGACTGCTTTTAAAGCTGCTTCTTGATGGTTCAAACAATTCAGGACGTGTACAAATTTCAAGGCATCAAAAATTGCGGGTGAGGCAAACGGACCGCATTGTTGCAACCTATGGATCAAGACAATTTTCTACTTTTCTACTGTCTGCAGTGCATGTTTTCTCCCGTAATCAAGGCCCCTTGAAACTATCAAAATCCTAGAGGTGGCACGAGAAGAAATCAAGCAGGCAAAAATGAGCGCTGTGTAAAAGATCTCTACTTAGAAATAATTCAAAAATCCTTTGGAGGAAGGAAAACAAACAATGGTTGATACGGTTGTGGAGTTGGTACAAGAATTACAGCAACGTGTGTGCAAACAGCACAACAAGTAAAGCTTGGAGTAATGCTTCTGTCCAGTGGTATCCAGTGGCATTTTTAACAAAACAATTTTTTTAACAAAACGAAATTTAAAATTTTATTTACTAAATATTTATCAAAACATACGTAAACAAAAATGATGAAGCAAACGGGAAAATTTCAATTTAAATTTATATTCTGCATGAGATCTAAATGTTGATATCTGCAAGAATTTTCTTATGATTATACCTTGTAATTCAAACGGATTGACAGTCAAGTATTAAATTTTCAAGATGACACTTGTTTCAAATAATTCTAAAGAGTTGAATAAATAGCTAAATAACTTACTTAAACTAAAAACAAGCTGAGAAAAACTTTACCAGTGGGACAGAATCTGCGAATAAATGATGATAATATTTCTTTTATTTATTAAGTGTTTACGTTCCTGTGTTAAAATGGCGCCCAAATGGATGATGTAATTTCGATTTTAAATATCCTTAATAAATCCAAGCACTCTCGGTCTCCTCAAACCAAACTGCATACATTTAATAATATAACATTAACTTAGTAATAATTCAGCAATACAGATAAGCTTTAAAATAAGAGTTACAACCTTTACAGGTCAGCTACGCTTTTAGCGACCGAATTCTTCAGACGACAAATCTCAAAAGCGTGTTGCCAACGCAGGCAACGAAAAGTGGAAATTAATTCGATAGGCGTGGAAGTAAACATTAAGTTTTTCTCTGATGAATGCAGAAAATACATATATATGTGTGTAAATAATTATAAACTCCCTCATATCTTACTGCAACACCTCATGTCGGTTCAGTTGTAACAAAGTTTGTAGAACTTTGAAACTTTGAACTTGAAGAAAAATTACTTTACAAAAATCACGAATTGTAGATGTTCATTGGTCAGTCTGGTTCTTTTTATAAACTTATCAACTTTTAATTGCGGGAAAAAAACTGTTCACATATAAAAGAACTCCCAAACAAAACTGTTATTCTTACTGCAAAACCTCATAACTGCATATACGTATTTACCTTTTGACAAGTATGAAAAAAAGTCAATCAAATCTTAAATTCAAATCTTTGAATGATATTTATATAAGAGTGGAAATTAATTAGCTGCATTTGTAGACTTTTCGGGCATTACTCACTTTCATGTAAAGAATGTCAGATTGGACATCAAATCATTAAACACATAAACCTTTATCCAAATTCCTGTCGTAATTGCGCTGATTAATTTACGGAAAATGCATGTGTAGGCGTACGAAATCGCTTCGGGGACCACATGCAGCCCACAGGCCTACAGTTTGAGACCACTGCAGTTGTTGATTTAACTTGCATGCGCAGTACTGAAAAATTAAAAATGTTACTGATAGCTGAGTTGTTTCTTCTAAACTGCTAACTACTCTACAGCTAATGGTCTTTGATTAATAACATCGATACATTAATAAAATTATTTATTAAAAATGCATTATTACTTAAACTACACTGTGCAATGACTGATGCACTTTATCAATCCAGCATCTAAGAAACGCAACGCATCACACATTTGTTTTGTTTAATTTCTTAAGCCAAAAATATTCATGATTCATAATTCTTTTTAAAACGGTGCAAGTCGTAAAACCTCCTTTTAAGACCGCCACTCACATCTCCAGACATTTTGACATTCTATTCAGATAGTCGATTTAAAAAATATTTGTTCAGATTTAATGTCTGTTTATTCTCTCAGAAATACTCGCCACTTTTAGGGGTAGTCCTCTCTGAAAGGTGGCCGTTGTGTAAAGTTTAACTGATACTTTGTAAAAGGTATTTTAGATGATGTAATATGTATTGCTTGCATTTTTTATCTATTGCACAACATGACATTTCATAGAATATCTGCATCGTTGTTTGAATACTACGCTGTTTGTTTATTTTATTAGAAAAAAAGAGTACGTGAAGTTTTTTTTCATTTAATTATTTCAGGTTTAAAATTATAAAGTAACCAAACTTTTCTGCATATATAATGTATAACTTTAAAATTTGGATTTATACCACATTCATAATCCATAAATAATGCAGATAACAAAGTGAAATCAGAAATGAAAATAAAGCTGTAAACGAACATCATTAACAAACTTTTCGAAACAGAACAAAGCTAA